TATTTCCCACAGTTCAAGTTGGTATCATAAGACTTCATGTGGTATGCAGTGGTTCTCCATGCTACTTCTGTTGCACTTAAAAAATAGATTTCACATGCTTCTGGGTAGGAGACGATACCACATCACTGAAATAAGCTTCGTTATTCTCATTATTTATCATGGCAGTAATTACTGCCAGCATTGCAAGTGTTATTTCTGGAATCATCCATGTTCTTTTCTTCTTTGTGGAAAGGAAGCATAGATCCAAAATAGACTGCACTCTGAGTTGCATAAGTATACAGCTGGTGGGTCTGCTCCCAGTTCCCCATATTCTTTCTCCAGGTCAGATGCTTGGCATTTGCTTGGCATGCCCTTCTTCCTGATTTGACCTCACATACTTCCAGATACTCTCTCATGCAGCCTTTAGAAAAATCAGCATGGTCAGGAAAGAATGGTGGATAGTTACGTACATGCATTTTTGGCCTCTGCAAATATTTGTTGTGGTAGATTTTAAGAACGTATATCCAGGGTTATACTTTGTATATAAATGTAACCATTTGGGGAGTCCCACTGATATGGATTGGTCATGGAACTCTTTTTGCAGTAAGTTAATATTCAGATTGAATGAGTAAGATGTCCTGATTGAAATTAAATTTTATGACCTGGCTTGGCAAACCACTATCATTAATGCATTTAAATAAACTTGTTGACTGGGCATCAGCCTCAGTTCATATCATTTTTATTAATAATAGTCATACACTTACTCTGTCTGCATTACTGATGTTGCATATTAAGGAAAATTATTTTCAGCATACATTAAAACTATGTGCACTTTGACTGTGTAACAAAAAAAAAGTTTTTTTTTTGTGCCGAGATGCCTTTGCTTTATTTAAAATTTATTTTTATTTTTATATTTTAGTTTTTTTAAAAATATTGGATGGTTCCACTTTATTACTTTTTAACACTTGTGAATTTCTTTTAATTAAATTTATTTTAGTGACAATGGTTGCTAAAATTACATAGGTTTCAAGTGTACAATTCTAAAATACAAAATCTATATATCACATTGTGTGCTCACCACCCAGTCAGTTCTCCTTCCATCACCATATACCGTATTTTGCCGTGTATAATGTGCACTTTTTTGCCCAAATTTGTGAGGGAAAAATAAGGATGCGCATTATACATGGGTAGTACTAATTCCGTATCTATATAAATGTTTTTAATTCTTTTATTTATGCTTATGAGTTAAAAGTATAACTCTAGAAATCAGTAACAATATCCATGCAAAATAATACCCTGGAATATGATAATCAATTTTGTTGAACTTACAGCGAACTTGCAACTACGAAGAGTTCTTGACCTTCTATGATGTGTAAATATGGTAAATTTGTCACCAGTACATAGAATTTCTTGTACCTTGTATCTGTTCTTGTGTTTTGTTATTATTTGTTACATAAAATTTCTTGTACCATAATATGTTAAAAAATAAATGCCAGGACAGCTGTTTAGCTCAGTTGGTTAGAGCGCATTGCTCATAACACCAAAGTTGCTGGTTCGATCTCCACATGGATCACTGAGTTGTGCCCTCTACAACTAGATTGAAACAACCAGTTGACTTGGAGCTGATGGGTCCTGGAAAAACTCACTGTTCTTCAATTAAAAAAATTTAAAAATAAATGCCAAAATTCCTTTATAATACAAAAAGCAAGTACCTAAATGTAAACAAATAAAAATTTGAACTAAAATATTAAAATGAAAGATTTTTTTCCCTGAAAGTTTGGGCCAAAAACGTGGGTGCTTGTTATACATGGGAGCATTATACACAGCAAAATACGGTATTTGTAAAATTTATTTTTAAATTTCTGTTTCTTCAAAAGTTTCATTTTAATGAATTGTTTTCCCCATTATCACAATATATGGTAACCTGCTTCTTTTGTTTGTAGCATATTCTGAAACCAAAGTTTAAATATTTAAATAATGTCACAGGGTTTTAAAAAATAATTTCAAACACATTATTAATTAGTTAAATATTTTTGAGATGTTTTCATTCTACACCTGTTTTTAGAATTTAGATATCCCTGGTGAAATAATTACGTTAAATTTTGAAAGTAGCCCTTGTAGGTAGCATTAACACCATTTTAAATATGACAAGCCAAAGTCTTTCATCTTGTAAGGAAAGAGCCAGAATTCAGACCCACTAGCATGAGAAGAACCAGAATTCAGACTCATGCCTGGAACTTTCTCCAGAGTCCAGATTGAAGAACTGCTTATCTGTCTCTCTTGTGAAAGAGGGATACTTTCCCCAGGCTAACAGAGAGAAACAGGATCATAGTAACCTGTGCCTCCAAAGTTTAAAGCAGAAAAAGGGATGATGAGGAGCAAAGCATTGCATTCTAGAGAACACTGGGCAATGGGGGTTTGCAGATGAAATCAGGAATCTGAAAACAGTTTAGCAAAAAAAGCTATAGCACGTAAGCCTATTCCAGTGGGTCAAAAGAAATACTTAGACTTGTTTTACGTTTGAGTTTTTGCTGTCTAGTATTAAACCTTATATAGAGAAGGTGGAAGCCAAGAACAGTGTAATATTTAAGATTGTACAACATAAATGGGCAAAGACACGAAGAGATAAGTCATGAAAGATCATATACTTTTTAGTAAACAAACGTTATCAGTATTCAGTCTCACTGGTATTTAAAAATATACCTGGAGAGATTTCTATTTGTTAAGTATTTTAAAAGCTATAGTCAGTTTGTATACCTGACTGTTGTACAGTTAAATTTTTCATTGTACAGTTAAAATTTTCATTACTTGGAAGTTTCAAGTAGAAACAAGTGTTCTAGAGAGCAATTTTATAATATATACAAACAGCCATTGACATTACATCATCATTGGACCCAAAATCTTTATTGAAAATCTTTCCTAGGAAAACAATACAGAATTAGAGCGAAATAATGCTGTATATATCTGTGTGTGTGTGTGTGTGTGTGTGTGTATGTATGTGTGTGTATAATTTTAACTTTATATTATTTAATCAATGCTTTGGAAAGAATATTAGACAAGACTCATGGCTTTTAGTCCTAGTTTTTCAGTAATGGATTATGTTCAGTAATGGACCTTGGGCAAATCACTTAATCTCTTTGAAACTCAGGTTTCTAAAGTGTTGGATAAGAAATTTGACCGATATTATTTCTGATGTCCCTATATATACACATCAAAGAATTACTTAGAATTGATGGAAATTGGAAACATTCTATATGCTCAGCAATAGAGAATTATGAGTCTTGAAAGCAGGTATAACAGGTATTTGAGGTAGTGCATTACTACTTGGCTCTTAATAAGGATGGGTGGGTGGGTTGGATAGTTGTTTGGTTGGATAGATAGAAGGGAGGGAGGAAAACAGGCAGGCAAGGAGGTTGGAGTTCTTAAAAAAGATTTGCAACCATTGAAAATTATAATAACTGTAGCCACATGAAAAATCATTGCAGTATTATAGTTTAATATTACATGAAAAACACAGAATGGAAATTACTTGTACTCTATGAGAATTGGCTGTAGCACTTAAATCTGTAGTAACATATGAAAACCTTATGCATGTGAAAGATCAATGGAAATCTACATGATATTTTCCTACAGTGTGGCACTTCTATATAATTACAAAAGAATTACATGAGCTATTAGATTTTAAAATGAATGCATTTTAACCTGGTAGCAACAGCAGTGCACTATGGGTGTGCAGTACTCTGTTATAAAGTTCCAAGGTAAGCCTATGTATCCACTGGGTCTATATGCTGCGGATACCCTCATCCACTACTTGGGAGCTATTTTACATTTCGATTTAGGGCATTATCATGCATCTGTTGAATTCCTTATTGTAATTTAGTAACAGGAAAAGCTTTTGAGAATATTTTTTCTGTTAAAATTGCTTCAATGTGTCTGTGTAGTTTCAGAGTATATAGGTTTGTGAATAAAGTGCTAGCAGAACTCTTCTGCATGAGAATTTCATCTCTGCTTAACTATCTAACTCTGTTCCCCTGAAAACCTGATAAAAAGGGGAAAGTCAGCTATGTACTAGGCGACATTGCTTATAGTAAAAATTATTCTGGATCTGGATTGGGAAAACTATTACTACTTGATGGAAGACATAACTTTGGGCATCCTTGAGTTCAGTGACTTTTATAATTGGCACGATCCCTGTGAGGTATGAGGTTTTGATGCCAGAATGTGTCCCATGTCTGTTCCATATGGATCTCATCTCCTTACACCTGAACTGTTGGACTGCTTCAGGCACTCAGCAGAAGAGAAACACCCAATGCTGCTCTTCTGGCAAACTGGTTCCCACGTTATATCTTTCTGGATAGACTGATGTCATTGGGACTTCAGATGATCTTGTGGATCTGAAAGTTTAATTGATCCTGAGAAGACCCCCAGAGGGCATTGTAATAGTATAATTCTCAGTTGGTTTTTAATTTCCTTTTCAAAGTAAGAAAATAGTATTTTAACTTCATATTATTTAATCAGTTCGTTCAATTTTGTCAATTCTTTGGGAAGAATATTAGACAGTACACATAACTTTTAGTCCTAGTTTTTCAGTAATGGATTACGTTCAATAATGGACCTTGAGCAAGTCACTTAATCTGTGTGAAACTCAGTGTTGGATAAGAAATTTGACTGATATTATTTCTGATGTCCCGTCCATTTCTGTATCCTATGGTTCTCTGATTTTTTATCATTCTAAATTTTTAATCCTCTTTTGGGAGCGTTCCAGATTTCTTTTAGCCTGGCAGATGATCAGATAGCAGAAAGCCTGAGGTGCCGTTGTGTATATTCCTTCAAATTTAGTTTTTGGAAAAGTCACAGTATAGCTGCATAGTTCTAAAAGAAACATTTACGGCCTATGCAATAGAATTTAAAGAATTTAAGTTAAGAATACTTGAGGAATTTTGGGAGGGGAAAACCAGTTAGAATGAAAGTTTGAAAAGCTTTTGATTATTTTAAAATTCTATCTCAACTTCCACTTACAGGTTGTGAACTGGCTTGAAGGACCTGGATCAGAACAGCTAAGAGCCCAGTGGGGGATTGGAGACTCCATCCGGGCTTCCCAGGCCCTGCAGCAGAAGCACGAAGAGATCGAGAGCCAGCACAGTGTGAGAGGCTTTTTTCCTCTGCAAGTGACCGTGCTGTTCCTAACGCGTACCGTTAACAGCATGTGTGGTGCGCAGTGATGGGTTGCCATATATAAACGTTGGTCTAGGGGCATGAAGTACAGTATGTTTAAGGCTTAGATGCCATAAAGTACATTTTGACACTTGGTACATATTCATTGGAAATTCAACTTTGGTTTTTGTCTCCAACACAGTATAATTACGTATTTTTATAGAAACATAATTCACGGGAGATTTTTAAAACTACAGTTACAGAAGAAACAGTGGTAGTATAAAAATAGAACCTTCATCTATAGTCCCCAAGATAGAAACTACGATGCTTAAATCCGCAGAGGGAAACCTGTCCCTGTTTTATTGGGAGTGTGCAGTACAGTTAAATGCCTGGAACTAGAGTTGTTGCATTAAACACAGTTGATGGAGAGTGAGTGCAGAGGGTATAGGATATCTTTTCATTCCTGTGCATTTAGGGTTCATGGTTGTAACTGTGACATGGATATAAAATCACAGTTATGAAGTTGGGAAATTACAGACAGATTATAGGTAATAATTGTGCAAGAGGGTTTAAAATTTAACATCTTGTTATATGGAAGAAACTGGTCTATGTTATGCTCTTGTGGTGTTATAGTTAACTCTTCATTATTGAGAAAATGATGATCCAGTTTGTGGATCAGTTTGCTCACTCGTTTTATCCCCCAAGTCATACTACTTTTTATGGAAAATTTAAATAGATTGACTAAAATATTGGAAAAATAAACCTTGAATCCATTCATTTCTATCCTTAGATTATCTGTCTTAAAAAAATCGATGGATTTACACACACACAGTATTCATCCTACATATAATATGAGGAATAAAACATTCCCCATAAACAGGCGATAAAAGAAACTAGTCCTCCACCAAATGCAACTCCAAGTGATCAGACTACACCATGATTGGATTTATTTATTAATTGAAAAAAAAAAAAAGTGTGTTTGAAGGTGAATATAATAGGCATCTTGACCTCTAGGGTCTAAATGCACAACAAAGGAGAACAATATTAAAAAATCAATAATAATGTTAAACTCTGGGCCCTGATGAGACTTAAGGATCCTCTGAACATTATATTTCTGCAATTATTTTCTTTCCCCTTCAGCCTCCCTAGTTGCAGTGGGAATTAAAAGTTGGATAGTATTAGCGAATGTACATTTTAACTAAATGAGATGAAAGAATAAATATTGACTATGCTTTACTCGAGAATAAATTTGAATGGTTGACCAAGAATTATTTGCTCTTTATGAGAGGTATATTTTAACAACATCTGATATAATTATTTTCCTTTTTAATATATATCATTCTGTTTAGTTTCCTTATATTGTTTTCTTTATAATATTCCCCAAATCAGCTTTAATGATCAGCAGTACTGACAGATAAAATACACACTATACCCTACAGGAATTGTAATCTAAATGAGAAATAATATATAAGCAAGAGGTATCACAAGATTTAGAATCATGTACTAATTAGTACTTGTAAGAGATTCAAAAGTGAAATTCCATAATTGAAAAATCTATATATTTTCTGTATTTCACAGGTTCCAACATAATGGGTTTTCCTTTTATGCTAAAAAAGAAACATTGCGTAATTTGTATTTAACTTCCAACCCCTGTTTCTGAGGTTATAATATTTTAATTCTCCTGGTACTTTTAAATAACTTAATGCTGTTGATATTTTTTATATAGATTGTGATTTATTTGAACCCTGTGGATTGTTCCAGGAGCATGTTACTATAGAATAACTGTATTCTATAATTTGTCCTCCTTTTTAGTTATCGAAAATAGTATTTACTGTAGAACATTCTAGACTTCATCAAGATGATGAAGTCACAACAGTATCCAAAACTCCTTTAAATAGGGATACATGACACATGTATCATGTATTTATTTATATTTTAAAGATGGGGGGCCCGGCTGAGTGGCTCAGTTGGTTAAGAGCTCGCTCAAGAGTGTGAGCTCTGAGCAACAGCAGTTCGATCCCTGGCCCGAGCTGAGCTGCTGCTGAGCTGCCAACAGGTGGCAGGATGGTTCAGCTAAAAAAATAAAAATAAAGATGGGATAAGAATTTGTTTATATTTTGAAGATGCCAAGATGAATAAATGTAATTAGAAACTGGATTTTATATATACTTGTATATATTATAAAGAAGTTAAAAAAATTGGATTATATACATATTTTAAGGAAGTTCACAGAAAAAGCATAACTATACAAAAATCTATACTGAAAAGTCTTGTTTTATATTGCATATACTATGGATAAAATTACAAATGATATACATAGAGATTCCTGTGTTTAGATGTTTGTTTTTGTGTTATTGTATTTATAAGGTTTTAAAGTCAACTTAAGGAAACAGAGTGTTTGTGGATAATGGCCTTTTCCTTAAATTTACTTATAATGTAAATCAATATAAAATTTCAGAACTTTTGAAAGGGATCTTATAGATTATTCTAATACTGATCACCTTATTTTTTAGATGAAGAAACTGGGAGATGGCATATTTTCAATCAGTGGGTAGCTGGACAATAGTTAAAACACCAGTCTCTTGATATTCAGACTGAGGTCTCTCACTCTGTCTTAGAGAAAGCTACTAAATGTCATGGACTTGCTTAAGATGTAGCTGCTTTTTTTTTTTTAATTCTTATGCACATAAATTGATGTCTGCATTCATACGCATGGTGCCCAAAGAAAAGAAACATTGATGGCTTATCATGGATCTCATTTCTTTAAATGATGGAATTTGTATTAAAATTGGGAGGTGGGGACTGAATGGATGGGATTATAGATGAAACAGGATTGACTGTGAGTTGATAATTATTAAAGCTGGATGGTACATGGGGTTTCATTATATAGTTCACCCTTGAACAATGAGGGGGTTAGGGGCAATGCAGATATTCTCAAGTTGAAAATCTGCATATAACTTTTGACTTCCCCAAAATTTAACTGCCTGCTGTTGATTGAAAGCCTTACCAATAACATAAACAGTCAATTAACAAATATTTTATATATGTATTATATATTATATTCTTACAACGTAGGCTAGAGAAAAGGTTATTAAGAAAATCATAAGGAAAATACATTTACAGTTATTTATTGAAAAAAAACAAAACCCTGTGTATAGGTGGACCCATGCAGTGAAAATCCATGCTGTTCAAGGGTCAACTGTACTGTTCTTTCCATTTTTTAATAGATTTGAAAATTTTCATTCTAAAAGGTTTACAAAAGAATATTGCACCATTTTAACCAATAGGTGGCGCTGCATTGTCACCTTGAGAAGAGGTTGATGGCAGGATGAGTACATTAGCTTATGATGTTTAAGATATACTGATATTTATTAAAAGCTTTCTTTGCTGTTTGTAAATAGAAGTCAACACTTTAAAACATGAATTGAAATCTTTCAGGTCTCATAAATTATGACAAACTTCTAGTATACTGATTGCTTAATAGTAGAATTTGGAGAAACTTTTAACATACCACATTGTACTAAAGCACTCTGTCAAATACTAGGTTTTGATTTTTCATAAAACTTAACTCAGAAATAAAGCTAAAAATAAACCCAAATTTCTTAGCCAAGAATTGATTTATGTTTTTAAAAGTTCACTCTGGCTATTGTTTGGAGAATAGGGAGTAGATACAAACAGTGGAATAGGAAGACAGGAGGCTAATAGAATAGAGGCAGTAGAACTGATGAGAAATTGTCCGATTCATGGGTTAAGCCAGCAAGACTTGCTCTTGGAAGAATAAGATGTTTGGCTTTAGCAACTAGTAGTAAGATGGGAAGCTGGAAAATCAGTATCTTTGGGGACAGGTTAAATTTTAAATATCTAAACGTCATCTGAGAAGGTGACTAGTAGACAGTTGGATATGAGTACCTAGGGCTCAGGGGAGGGGTCAGGGTGGAGGGTATTCAGTTGGGAGTTAGAAGCCTATAGATGCCATTTATAAAGCATTGGACTAGATGAAATCATCCCAGCCCAATGAGGATTGATTTAGAAGCCGAAAGCCTTTGGAAAACTGAAGCCGGGGTTCCTCCTAAATGTAGAGGGCAAGAAGAGGGAGGACAGCCAGCAGAGGAGGCCAAAAAGGAGCTAGCTGCATGTCTCAGGTAACGAGAGAAAGGCCTTCCAAGGAGGAGGAATCGGTCATCTTTGTCAGATGCGGCTGAGAGGTCCAATAAGATAAAGACTGATAATTTCACAAGAGTGATTTCATAAGATTTCATAAGAGTGGGTAGGACAAAATCCTGATCAGAGTGGATTAAAAAGAGAATAGGAAATGAAGATCGAATGAGTATAGAGAACTCTTTTGAGGGAGGTTTGTGGGGGTTGTTTTTTTTTAATTGAGGTTTATATATATAGTAAAATGTCCATATTTTAAGTGTATATTTTGTTTTCTAGTGTAAGATAGTACTTATATTTGTGTACTGATGGAAATAGCCCAGTTGAAAAAGGAAGAATTGATGATGGCAAAGAGAGGAGATAACTGCAAAGCAAAGCCTGGTACAGGCAACAGAGGATAGCATATAAGACAAAAGTGAAGTGGTTGGACTTCGAAGCAGGAACAATTCATTCATTTTGATAGTAGGAAGGGCAAAGCATAAGGCTACAAAAGCAGGAAGGTCATCGAGTTGTTGGTAAGATGAGAGTTCTCTTCTGATTGCTTCCTAGTGTATTAAGAAGTTAGATTTTTGGTTAAGTGTAAAGAGTTGAAAAGGAAGTTAGAGATTTAAGGAGTGAAAAAGTGTAATTATGGGAATGGAAAAGTAAAATGACTAGAGAAATGTAATAGGGTTGCTAAAGGCCCATTTGAGTTTATTTAATCATAACTTTTAAAGACACCTATCACACAGTGGTTTTTATATAGCCATGTTCAGCTCCATTGGTGTAGGTACAGTAGGCAGAGAAAGCAGGTCTGAGGTTTGGTAGGTGAGTCTGGAAGGAAGGAGAGCGGGATATGGGCATGGGTTGTGCCCTGGGAGGTGTTGATAGCCCCTGACCAAGGACAGAAGTGAGGGCCCCTCAATGCTGGATAGTAAAACATGCTGCGGGAATGGATTGGTGGATGCTATATAGTTGCCTGAAAAGAATTCTCCTGTATGCTACTTAGTGTATCTGGGGGAATTATAAAATGTAATATAGTTCTCCAGAAACTAATTTTATCCTCAGTTTACTTTCCAATGTCTCTGTATTACAGGAATGGTTTGCAGTGTATGTGGAGCTTAATCAGCAAATTGCAGCCCTCTTAAATGCTGGGGATGAGGAAGACCTCGTGGAACTGAAGTCACTGCAGCAACAACTTAGTGATGTTTGTTACCGACAGGCCAGTCAGCTGGAGTTCAGGCAGAACCTCTTACAAGCAGCTCTTGAATTTCATGGTGTTGCCCAAGATGTAAGTGTCTACTCTGATTGCTTTTCTTTTCTTCAAATTTTCTGGACACTTATCTGCACATAATTTTGGCAGGTTTGCATGTCTCCTAATTATTTTTCTGGAACAGCAAAATAATGTACTGGTGGGGGAAATGAGATAAAATTATTTGATTGATTTACTTTTTTATTTTTAAGTCAATCTGCATGCAACTAAACCTTTTTTGTCTAAATAGAGTGTCCCAACTTAGTAGATACGTTTTATTTCGATTGTTTCTAAACGTTTATGCTTTATAACATACATTGAAATGGAAGTTTCAGTACTTTTTTCACATTCTGCTGACCTGGATATATTTCTTTGTCTTCCTGGTGCATGCATGTGTGTGTTCTGTCTTTCAGATGACATGTATTCTAATTATTCGTTCTTGTCTTTTAACAGCTTAGTCTTTTTCGAGTATCATTGTGATAACCTCATTAGATATAAGCCTCATTAATCATTAAACACTGTAGACGCTGTTTACATCAGGGTTATCTCTTTGGTGTCCCTCTGCTTTAGTTGTCTCAGCAGTTGGATGGCTTATTAGGGATGTTGTGCGTAGATGTAGCACCAGCTGATGGAGCATCGATTCAGCAAACTTTAAAACTGCTTGAAGAGAAGCTGAAAAGTGTTGGTAAGCAGATTTTAAAAACGCTGAAACATAAGGGTTCTTTTTAAAAATATATCATTAGTGTGGTCAGACTTATACTGAACTAATTATAATTATTTCCAGAAACACTGGAAAAATGGTATAAAAAATGTTATTCCCTTGAAGGGTGTAATTTATGCTCAGATGTGTATTTTTCGTTGTTGCTCAGTCACTCTGCCTTCATTGGGCCTTCAGCCTTTCTTGTGTACCCACTACAGGTGCTATGTCTTGCATATACTATGAGCAGTTATTTGTAGTGCATGCCTAAACTGTGATTAGCTGTGAAGTGTTCTGTGGTAAACCCTGTATGCCCACAACTGTGTTTAATGCACTGATTTTTGTTGTTGCTATAGCCTAACCTTGAAAAAATAGTTGGTTTGGTTCTGTGCATTTGCTTCTCCAAGCTGGGACTATAGCCAAGATTAATACTCTAAGGGGAGGATGGTCCAGTTTCATTAAGCTACTTCTCTCACTTGACATTTAGCCCTTTTAAAATTTAGTATAGTGGGAAATACAGTGACTTTCCCTAGGTCATGACTGGAGAGGTGGATGCTGGATGTAAAAATGGGATGCAGGCGTGCATTGACTGGGACAGGAGGGTAAAGGGGAATGGAGGAGAGAAAGCAGAGTCTAAGGCAGAGATTTAATAGAAAATGGTGACACATGATTGAACCAAATTAATTGCAGAAAAGGACTTGAAGGAATGGGTTTGAAAAGTCATATTTGTATTGGCATTTGACTTGTTTTCAGCCTTTGTTATTTTAGCAGATGGCATACATAATACATAATTTAGTATTTAATATGCCAAATGAAATTTGTTTCAAAATGGCAGAAGTTTTCTTGAGCCACACGTTTCCTTTAAAAAAGATAAAGTAAATTACAGTATTCTAATTTTTAATATTTAAACATATCCTAAGTGTTGCTTCTTGTTGGGTATAAGCTGGGTAGTGCCTATACTCAATGTTCAGTGTCCTTTAACAGTGACATTATGTGATTGTTTTGAAATCTTGCAGCTCATACATTTTTTTGAACAAAATATTTGTCCTGTTCGCCTAAAAATTGGATGACGTAAAAGCAGAAAGAAAAGACTTGAAAAATCTTACTTGTCAGAATAGAAATTCTCACACTTCCTGCTTTCAGTTTTGAAAAGTAATTATTACCTATGGAAATTTACCTTTTGGAAATTCTCTTTAAGGAGAATTTGGCATGAGCGGGAACTCCAGTTTGAGTTACATTTAAAGGGTTGTGTTTTTGCTTGAAATGTTTAGAGGACTCCATTCCAAGATAGTTTTATGAGTGTACAGAGCTGTTACACTTGGAGTCAAGTACTATATCTGCTGAGAGGGTTTACTTGAGGGTGGGAAAGCACCTCCATTCTTGAAGAGATTAAATCTAATAACTTTTGTTTTAGATGTAGGATTGCAAGGTTTGCGTGAAAAAGGTCAAGGTCTTCTGGATCAGATCTCCAATCAGGCATCCTGGGCCTATGGAAAGGACGTAACCATTGAAAATAAAGAAAATGTGGACCATATCCAAGGAGTGATGGAAGATATGCAGCTTAGGAAACAAAGGCAAAGTTTGACTGTTAATGTTATTTTTTGCTAAGACAACATAATTAAAATGAAAAGTGATAAACTGTATATTTTTCATTCAAACTACAAATTTTTACCTGTTATATAGTAGGCATGTAGTAAGTTTTTGGTTAATGTAATAATTACTATATATAATTGCACGAACAAATAATGACAATTTGTTCAAATAATGGGTACCATTTCCCTTTTTTAACTCAGTAGTAAAAATTTCAGTTATACTCAAGTACTTTACATTCCATATCCCCAGTGTAGCTATGACTCTTCTGTCTTTTAAGAAGACCTTTTTTGGGGAATTTTACTTTTCCATTTTTATTTGGTTTAATTACTGTCAAATCTATCATCTACATTGATCTGTTTCTTCATCTAAACTTCTTACAAATTGTCATTTCCATTGTTTTTATATTTGCTGTAGAAGGATTAGACAATAGACTCTGTTTATTAGAGTAAGAAGATGGGTAAGAGTAAGATCATGTTTAGTTTCATTTGATAGAGAACTAGGAATTTAAAGGGTTCTTTGAAAACTCAGTTTGCAACAGCAACTGTAAGGTGCAGTCGTCCCTCCATCTCCGAGGGGGATTGGTCCCAGGACTCCCTCTTCCCCCCATGGATACCAAAATCTACGGATGCTCAAGTCACTTATATAAAATGGTATATAGTATTTGCTTATAACCTACGCACATCCTGTCACATACTTAAAATCATCTCTAGATTCCTCACAATACCTAATACAATGTAAATGCTTTGGAGATAGTTGCTATACTGTATTGTTTAGGGAATAATAACAAGAAAAAAAGTCTGTAGTGTTCAGTACAGATGCAGCCATCATAGGCCTAAATACATAGTACACTTCAGCAACAACATAACGTTTTTTTGAGTATTTTCAGTGTTAAACTCGATGCACAGTACATTTATTCTGTTTTTTTTAATTCTAAATATGTCCAAAAATGGCATGCTTTTTCACTTACAAAGCACTCCATGAAGACCACTAAGTGCACTATAAAAGGTCTCCATTCCTAAAAAAAAATCACTGTAGTTTTCACTACATAATACATGTTAGCAACAGTGTAATATTTTTTCCCCAAAGTATTTTTGATCCACGGTTGGTTGAATCCACAGATGTGGAACCCACAGACATATGGAGGGCCAACTGTATTGCAAAGGAAAGGATTAAATTAATCTTGTGCATGTATACACAATCTAGCATGGTTATATAAAATTTTTGCACATTTAGAAATTTTAGGGTCATCAACAAAACCTACAAAAACTCCTATATCACAGGGAAAGAGCCATCAGGCAGAAATTCCTTCTACCCCCATATCTGCAGATTTATGTGTCTCATTATTTATTCTCATCAGACAGGATGATGTAGCTCTGCTCTTATCAAAGCCGATCTTTTCATGTGCCCTCATGTCTCCTCACTCCATCAGCTCCCACACTCTACTCCGAACCCTGTCCATCACTTACATGCTTAAATCACTTCTAATTTTTAAAAAGTTAAACCATTATATACATGCATATACTGTCCCTCTTCAGTTCTTTGTCTTCTAGCCCGAGAGCTCTCCTTCCTGACAGCTAAGTCATTTGACGTTCTCATCTACACTTGTCCTTCCTCACTACCTCCGATTTACTTTTTAGCCCTCCTCCGTCTGACTTTTGCTCTCACCATTTCACTGAATTTGCTCTTACTGATGTCACCAGTGAGTTTATAATTGCCATATGTGATAAACACTTGATCTTGCTCAAAATCCAGGAATACTTTTAGTCCTGACCTTGCTTCACCACTCTGAACAGCATTAGACACAACTGAAATTTTCTTTCTTCTTGAAACTCCCTGACAACTTTGTCTTCTTTGAAAACACCCTCATGATACTTCTCCTGGCACTTGCTTTTCAGTCTTCGCTGTTTTCTTGTCCTCTAGCTAATGGCAGTGCTTCCAGGGTTTGTTCTGAAGCCAGATTCTCTTCTCAGGCTGTGTGTTCTTCCTGGACAGCCTCACTACTTGAATGACGTTCTGTAAGATGATCATGACCAAGCAGTTAACGGCTCTGATGCACACCTCTCCTCAGTGCTTTAGACCCGCAGTTGCACTTGCCTACTGAGTATCTCCACTGGATGCCCTGTACACTCCTCAAACCTAATAGGTCCAGGTTAGGATCATTCGCCCCCAAAACTTCCTCTTCTCTCTTAATGTCCTGTCTCCGTTAAAGTTACCATCAGCTACCACACTTGGGATTTGTCCTAAAATCCTTACTTGTTCTCATCCCTAGAGTCTAGTCAGATGTCCAAGTTCTGCTGCCTTTGAATCCTCAACATTTCTTTGTTAAAGATTTTTTTCTCTTATCTCTGGTCTTACTCCTGTCTAGTCTGTTTTACACGAGAGTAATCTTCGTTAAATTCCACTTTTAATTATACAGTTTCCCTGTGTAAAACCCTTCTCAGTGACTTCCTGTTTTCTCAGATGAAGTTCAGTCTCCCTGGACTAGTGTAGGAGACCATAGTCTAAGCCTTATCCCCTGTAACTTTCCCACAAAAGCACACAGTTGTTTTCATTTTCCTGAATGCATCATGCTATTTCATGCATCCATGACTTAGACTGCTTCTTTCTTCATTTTCTGCCTTGCGGATTTCTTCTTATTCTTCAAGACTCAGGGATACTTACTCTTGGAAGTCTTTTTAGATTTCTAAGGCAAGTTAGTCACTTGTTACGCAGTTCTACAATAACATTTATCACATTGTTTATTTAAACATCCTTCTTCCCAAATGGGACACCTTAATAATAAGACCACGTCTTATTTTTTTCAAGCACATTTTCCAATACCTGACTATATGTATTGAATACTTGGATGATATCATCTTTATCATTAAAGTATCCTTACATTGTTTTTGAACTTCAGATTTTAAAAATAATTATCATCATCACTTCCCTTTGGTCCCTTGTAGAATTACTTTAAGTTGCATTTTGACAGTATGCTATAGGCTTTTACTGAGGGCATCCTTATAAAAATAGCCTTGTGACAATGATGCCTGTATTATCAAGCTTTCTTTAAGAACATCAGCTGTAGTGGAGCCCGGTGCCTCCTGGTTAACTTGTCACTCGTGTTTGGGATGGCAGTGAGATTCTTCCTTCTCACCTAAAATACATGGAATCAACATGGGAATGAAGGGGATGGATCAGAGCTGAGTTAGGTCAAGTCACCTTAAAAGTTTAATCTGTATGTTTTCTGGGCAGACTGCAGTGAAATTAAAAAAAAAAAAATTGTTTTTCAACACCCAGAGATCAGTGGAGTTTTTTTCTTCTTAAGAATATAGAGGGCGTTTTTTGTTTTTCTTTTATTGAAAATTAGATATTACTCTGAGTCATGTAAAGTGTTAATTTTTTTATTTCTTTGAACAACATCCTCTAGTATATTTTAGAAACTTTGTATTTTTATCTTTGAGGCTTATTTAATGCTAATTGGCAATGGACATTTCTTTGTGTTTTAGTATACTACTAGTTTTTGCTTTGCTTTGGTACTTTGCTTAATGCATGTTCTTAAGAGGGTTTTTTATTCAGTATCATTCAGGTATTTTGAGGTTTTGGTTATGATACAGATGTAGCTATCCTTAAAAGTTATACAAATCAATACAAAACAGTTCAGTCTCCATAGTGTAGGACTAAGTATTTTAATATAGTATAAAACGTGTGCCAGATGATGATGTTATAATAGCAACGGGACCGAAATGATGTGCTCAATTTATGTTTGGGTTTATTAGATGTGAAGACATGGTAGATGTGCGAAGGTTAAAGATGCTTCAGATGGTACAGTTGTTTAAATGTGAAGAGGATGCTGCCCAGGTAAGGATCAGTCAGGTACATTATATAGTTGCTTTTTCCTAGAAGATTGATTTCACCTAACTACAAGCAAAAGTATACTTTTTTCATGGTCTTAAGTAACATTGTCAGATTCTTATTTATCCTGTTGAAATAGTAAAGTTTTGTATTCCCGGTTATCTTACTGGTCTCATATGACTTCTCAATGAAATCCTTTATCGAGCTAGAAATTAGGATTATTTACTATTTATTATTGTTGACTTGTTTTCAGTTACATCCCAGGATAAAGGCTGGACAGCACATTGCTGTTTAACCCACAAGAGCATTTTTCAACTAGATAAACAATTTCCTATCTTTGTGTAGTTAGCATTAGAACATCATTTCAGCTTGACATAGAGGAAATTTATGATTTTAAATGGTAACAAACATCTAATGAGATTCCAATAAGATCTACATTACACAAACACATGATCTTCTATTAATGTAAATCATGTGATATTAACTTTAAAAGAGTGTTTCTCTTTAATAAATTTTGTCTTTAGATTTTAAAAATTTTGAGGGGGAAGAGAAGTCATTGATTATGTAGCTTGACATTGAATAAAATGAACTATTAGGAACTAAGGTTATAATGGATTAATTAATCGTGATCTAACCTTTACTTTTATAAATATGATGTTGTGATACTATAAATAAAAACTTAGGAATCCACCTTCACTGTTATTTTGTTTTCATTTAGGCAGTAGAATGGCTGAGTGAACTTCTGGATGCTCTGCTGAAGACCCACATCAGATTGGGCGATGACGCTCAGGAAACAAAAGTTTTACTGGAAAAGCATAGAAAATTTGTTGATGTTGCACAGGTGCAGAACTGGTTATCTTCCTTTTCTACAAGCTCAGTGTTTGAATAGCTTTCTGCATGATTATAATTTAACTTAACCCTCGAAGTCCAAGAAGGTTAGTTACACGATGCCAGAAATGTCACAGAACTAAGAAAATGTCTGCCGGTGCATCCAAACTAGCTGCATAAACTTGAGAGAATGTGTGTTTTCCTGAATACAGGTTCTGTATGCTCCATCCAATTTATATTATATAACACAGTATTTTTTAGACAATCTGTTTATTCCCAAAAGTTAATATGAAATAAATGTTAACATCAGTAAATTCAAAACGCCACTTTCTGCATCTCACCAGTGTTAGCATAACAACACAGATTTGTGTTGTTGTTGTGAAAAGTATCTTAATTAATTTCTCTAATAATTGAGTTCATAATGTAACAGTTGTGGTTTCCTGTATGGGATATAAAATACCTGTTTTCACCCACTTGTCTCAATAAATGAGTGAACAGACATTCTTTTTGGCCCGTGGATTTCAGCACAGTGAGATGGGGAAAACAATTGGAAAGAACTTACTGAAAGCTGAAAGTATTGCTGCCTCTTCATTATTTATGCATGCAGACAATTTATAGTAATAAGTAACAATCATTCAGTATTGATTTCTAGCAGTGTCCCTCACTTGCAGCCACAGTCCTCCTACACACTTTCTCTCCTCCTTCTCAGAATTCTTATAATTCCATGTTTACTTCTTTTTTAGAGCACTTACGACTATGGAAGACAGTTGCTCCAGGCCACCGTTGTGCTGTGCCAGTCTTTGCGCTGCACTTCTCGGTCATCTGGGGATACACTTCCTCGACTGAACAGAGTATGGAAACAGTTCACAATAGCATCTGAAGAGAGAGTGCATAGACTGGAAATGGCTATTACATTTCACTCAAATGCCGAAAAGGTTCGCTTTTTAAAAAACGTAGTCACAATAGTATTTATTGTGTATGTTTAAAATGTGTTAATTTTAATCATAATTATGTGATTAGTCTGTTTTTTAAAAAATATGTTAATACCATTGTTTAAAGTTTGTTTAGATATAATATATTGTCTTAGAGAGTTCAAATCAAATTCTCTTAGTAATTCATGCCAGTGGTGGAGTACTGTGTTTGCAGAAATTCAAAACCATTCAGTAGTCCTCCGTCTACAGTGCTGCTCTCGTTACCAAACATGATACCCATAATGTGCTGTCCGTTCTTTAGGATGATGACCCCCATCTCATTCATTATGCCAGAAAAGGAAACTTAGCTTCTGTGGCTATTACTAATTGCCATAAATTTTTTAAAAGAACATTTTTTAATTTTATAATGTTTAAAGTAGAGATTGTCCAAAATGAGAATAAGAATAAAAATTAAAACCTTTTTTCATGTGTTATTTTTAAATATTAATTCCCGAATTTATTATTTAATGAATTAATTAGTCCCAGAAACCAGAAATGAAATATGCAGTGTTGTTGGGCAAATTTTCAATAGGACTTTTTCCTTAACCAGGCACAGTGAAAATTTATAGCGCCCAGGCCTTACATTTTTCCATTCTGAAGAGGAGCTTTATTATGTAGTTAACTTTGTTTTAACCTGTTAATATGAAAGTTTATATGTCAGGATGTTCAATACCATTCAAGATATGAGAAACCTAAGTTGTAAATGTGATTGCCTAGTCTGTAGAACAGAAGAGATGTTCCCAGGAACCTCAGGAATTAAGCAGTTTCTGTCTGTGTTAGGCAATACATCTGTTGGGAAATATTTATAATAAACTCTTTTTGAGCTTGTCACTGAGCTCCACAGGTCAGTGTTTTAGTTTAAAATGGACCTATGACAATGAAAGAGGTGTGCAAAATGGCTTAACTTGTTTGTCTACTGATATTTTTAACAAAAAATATTTATTGAAGTATAATACTAACATAGTATACAGATTGTAAGTGTTCTGCTTAATTTTCACAAAGTAAACACACCTGTGTAATCAGTGCACTATTCAAACAGAGTGTTACCAGCACCCCAGGAGCTCCCCCAGTCCCTTGCAGTCACATTGCTTCAGCTGCCCCTCCCTCCCATCCAGGGGTGACCACCGGCCCTGTTTGTAACCACTGAAAACTTTTCAGGATACTGCTTTTTAAAGGTATCTGCAAGAACATTTTAAAACCTAGACCCCTTTTGAGAGATCATATGAGAATGTTGTCACAAATGACAGTATTTCATCTTTTCTTATGGCAAGGTAGCATTCCATTGTGCACGTGTACCACCTCTTCTTTACCCAGTCATCTATCAAAGGACGCTTTGGTTGTTTCCATGTCTTGGCCACTGTAAATAAAGCTTCAGTGAACATCAGGGTACATATATCTTTATGGATAAATGTTTTCAGATTTTTTGGGTAGATACCCAGGAGAGGGATTGCTGGGTCATATAATAATTATTTTCTTAATTTTTTGAGGAACCTCCATACTGTTTTCTATAGTGGCTATACCAATCTGCATTTCCACCAGCAGTATTTGAGGGTTCCTTTTCCTCCACAGCCTCTCCAACACTTGTTATTACTTGTTTTGTTGATGATAGCCATTCTAACACCTCATTGTTATGAATGAGGTGGTATCTCATTGTGGTTTTGATTTGAATTTCCCTAATAGCTAGTGAAGTTGACCATTGTTTCATATTTCTGTTGGCTCGTTTGTATGTCTTCTTGGGAGAAGTTTCTGTTCATGTCCTCTGCCCATTTTTTAATTGGATTTTTTGTTTTTTTGTTGAGTTGTATGAGCTCCTTATATATTTTGGATATTAGCCCCTTATTGGAGACATTGTTTGCAAATATCTTCTCCTGTTTGGTTGGTTGCTTCTTTGTTTTGTTGATAGTTTATTTTGCTGTGTAGAAGCTTAGTTTGATATAGTCCCATTCATTTCTTTTAGCTTTTACTTCCCTTGCCTTTGAGGTCAAATTCATAAAATTCTCTTTGAACCCAAGGTCCATAAGTTTAGTACCTATGTTTTCTTCCATGCATAGTGTTTCAGGTCTTAAGTTTAAGTCTTTGATCCATTTTGAGTTAATTTTGGTATATGGTAACAAATAGCAATCTAGTTTCACTCTTTTGCATGTGGCTGTCCAATTCTCCCAGCACCATTTATTGAAGAGACTTCCTTTTCTCCATTGTATGTTTTTGACTCCTTTGATGAAAATTGTCTGTTAATATTTATATGGGTTCATTTCTGGGTTTTCAATTCTATTCCATTGGTCTGGGTGTCTGTTTTTCTGCCAATAAGATGCTGTTTTGATTATTGTTGCTCTGTAGTACAAGCTGAAGTCAGGGAGTGTGATTTGCAACAACATGGAGGGATCTTAAGATTACAATGCTAAGCGAAATAAGTCAGACAGAAAAAGTCGAGAACCATATGACTTCACTCACGTGGTATACAAAACTGAAAGCAACAAAGGAATAAAACAAACAAAAACTCATAGACACAGACAACAGTTTAGTGGTTACCAGAGGGTAAGGGGGGAGGGAGATGGTAGAAGAGGGTAAACGGGTGGGGGTCAAATATATGGTGATGGAAGGAGAACTGACTGTGGGTGGTGGGCACATAATGTGATATATAGATGATGTATTATGGAATTATACACTTGAATATATGTAATTTTACTAACCATTGTCACCCCAATAAGTTCAATTTAAAAGAAGATCATATAAGATTCGGGCCGGTCGAGTGGCTCAGTTGGTTAAGAGCTCGCTCAAGAGTTTGAGCTCTGAGCAACAGCGGTTCGATTCCCAGCCCGAGCTGAGCAGCTGCTGAGCTGCCAACAGGTGGCAGGATGGCTCAGCTTTAAAAAAAAAAGGAAAAAAAAAAGATTATATAAGACTCAATATGGTTGGTCATTTTTTAATAGAAAATTAACATTTTTATTTTTTCTACTACATAGCCTTTATCATGCTTATAATGAACTTGATTTAAGGTTATTTTGCTGTATAAACCTATGTAAAGCCTTATTTTTCCCTTGACTCTAAGCACAAATATAACAACTATAAACAAATTATATTGTGTGATTGGGAAATATTTGAATATGGAATTTTAGAATATAAATGTGTTCTTTATGAGTAATGCTGAAATAAATATGATTGGATTAAGCCAAAGACAATGCAAAAAAAGTTGCAAAAATAAATACTTCTTTCTTTTCCTTCCCCAAATTTTACAATTTTTTCTTGTTCTTAAAATTTAAATGGTGATAGTTGAAGGGGAAAAATTATCAAGGACTGTAGAACTTCCTATATTTGAATTACAGTTAAGTCAGTTGATCAGTTTTTAAAATAACTATAAAGTGTGTAGCTAGGTCATCACATCAATTATGTGTTTGTACTTTGAGTATATGTTGTGTTGTATTTATGTATTTTTTTTGTTTTTGAATAAGCTCCTAGAGGTCAAAATCTATATTTCATTTACATCCCAAGCTACTAAATAAACTTATAATAAGTTTAATAAATAGTTACTGAATAAAAGAATACTTCTTAAGCACAGCTTGAGCTTACTTTCCAAAGAGTTGTCTAGTATTATTTTGTTCTTGAAATCACTATAGACCTTTTCATACTCAAATTATATGTTAATAGTAGGGGTTATACATTTCATTTTGTTTGAATTTGAGTCAGTTTTGCCAATATAATAGATCAATCATGTACAGTGGTGTACATGAAGATGCTAAGAACGAAATAAAAACACCTTCAATCTGCTAAATTTTCATAAGCTTGATTCCCTTTCTATGTCTCTTCATTGATATTGCTCTTTTGTTTGTTGCAGATTTTGCAAGAGTGTCCAGAAGAGCCCGAAGCTATTAATGATGAGGAGCAATTTGACGAAATTGAAGCAGTTGGGAAATCACTTTTGGATAGATTAACTGTTCCTGTAGTTTATCCTGATGGGTATGGTACATGTTTTCATAATTTTGTCTCTTTATTAACAAGGTCTTAAAGTGAAATCATTAAAAGAGGAAAATCTATTTTTTTTTAAAAAAGCCAAATCAATTATTAATAGTTTTGGTCCACATTTTCAGTTCCTACAATAAATTGGTTTAAAATGAAAAGAAATATAAACTTGGCTCTTAGCAACAGTAACAGTTGCTACTTGCTGTATCGAATGTGTTGTTTCTTAACTTTTGTTAGAAGAAAGATCATTGACTAGGTTGATACCCTAGGTTATAGCCTTGGCTGTGACGAGAAGGGAGGAGGGTGACTTTGGGTGTCATTCAGGGAAGGGGTGGGGACTGATGTTTAGGGAGCTCAGTGTGTGCCAGGCACCAGGCTACACACTTCACCTTCATTACTTTTGACAAACAGTGCCAGGCCAGTTGGATCGTTTCTGATTTACAGATGGAGAAACTGAGGCTCAGAAAGATTCAGTAAGGTGCTCAGGATTTCACAGCTTCTACGTGGAATTAGGATACAGTCCCAGGTCTGTCTGGCTCCAAACCCATTCTCTTTTCACTGTGCTATGTGGAGTCCTAAATTCCTTCATTTGTAAAATGGTGGGACCCAATTCCCATGTTTCTTTCCATTTCAAATAGTCGATGATAAAAATATGAAATGATCTCATGCAAATAAATGAGCCAAATAAAAGGCCAGTAAATGAATCAGAAGGAGCTTTATCCCTGAGGATCAGTGAAAATAATTTACAGGTAATCCAAAGGATATTGAATTCCAACAAGAGAGAAAGCAAACCATTGCATACATCTCTCTTCCATTTTTCCTGTAGTGTAATGGTTAGGATTGTGGACTCTACCCAGATATCTTGGGCTTAACTCTCAGCTCCACCACTTAAGTAGCTGTGATACCTTAGGCGAGCCACTTAACCTTTCTTGTGCTTCAATTTCCTCATTTAAAAATAAGGATATACTATTCATACTTCCTCAGGTTATAGGGGGAATTATATGAGCTAAATGTATATAAACTACTTAAAACTGACACGTAGCAAGTGCAACTACTGTGTCATGAACATCAAATGATTGTTTGGAATTGCTATTGAGAAGATATAATTTTATTCCCTTCATAGAATATTATTCATAGTCTAGTATGTAATCTCCGTCATACCTAAACTTGAACAATCAGAAGTAGCCTACAGTCATATTATACATCTGCAATGTATAAAAGAGAATAAATCTCAAAATTTACAAATTCATCTAGTAACAATCTTAGAGGGGTGTTTCTGGTTATTCTACTTCAGAACACCCCTCACCCCTATTTCTGTGTGTCTCAGCCAGTTGTCAGTCTCCCATTCTGTTCAGGTTAGTTTAGGAACACCTGTCCCTGGTATTTTTGCTCGAGCTTTTCCTGTGTCCCACAAATAGTCCGTGTGTCATTTCCTCGTTCGTTTAAGATAAAAGAATAAGTTAGTGCTGTGTATTCAAATTTCACAACCACTGCCTTTAATACTTGAAGTTATTTTATTCCATTTTATATGATAATCTGTTTATGACATGTGAAGTTTGTTTGACAATAACACTATTCAGATTTACCTTTTGTAACATTCTCCTGGAAAAATACAAAAAGAAAAATTGGATGCTCTTTCTGGATTCAGTGCTTAAAGATTTGGGTTTTTCCATCGTATGATCTTAGTTAAGTCATTTAATATTCTAGACCTTAGTTTTCTGATCTAAAAAATGAAGAGCTTACCAGATAATCTCCAAGAACTCTTCTACCTCTAAAAGATTCTATGAGTCTGAATACAGTATCTTTGCGGATAGGATAAAATTAAATGATTTTATCCATTAAAGGTATCCCAAGTGATACCTTAACATTAAATGGATATTTTGCTTTCCAGATATATTAGACAATTGGTGTACATAGCCCTTAGCCCTGAAGTACACATACGAATTTTACACTTGTATGGACCCAAACTGAAAAATAGAATATCTCCAATGTCTTATTGTTTTTGTTTATTGTTGCATAGCTGGTTGTATTGTTGGTTTATTGAGATTATCATAAGTACACATGATATGACATTTATACTACTAATACATTTTTCTCAACGTCTTAACATATTTTATGCCATTTAAAAACATTGTTCCTCCTACCGAATTACTAATGATAAACAGTATGGTCTGTAAATGAAGTAATGCCATATCACAGAGATCATTTTTTTTTTAAGATTTTTTTTTAAATTGGGGAGTTGGGGGAGGGGAACAGTGTTGGGGAACAGTGTTGGGGAATCGGGGAAGGGGAACAAACAAGTTGCTGTCCTTTTGTTCTTCAGTCTAGTTGTGGAGGACGTTGCTTCACTGGTCCATATTGATATTATCATTGTGCTCTTTCCGGGTGAGGCAGTTGCTCGCCGGTCATTGGACGGCCACTCACAGTGACTGTCGGCCACTCACACTGGCTGCCAACCACTCACAGTAGCTCATGGCAGCCCACTGCAGCAGAGGCTGCAGCCTATGCCATTACCGGCGACTCATGGCAGCACAGCTCCAGGTCGAGCTGTTGTTCACCATCTTAGCTGTAGAGGGCGCAGCGTCACTGGCCCTCATGTAGGATTCGAACCAGGGCCCTGCTGCTCAGGTCTGGTGTCCAAGCCAACTCTTGACCAACGCGCCACTTGGCTGGCCCTCACAAAGATAATTTTTATGATAATTTTTGCTTCCTTTGCATTCTCTATTCTCAGTTTATTTGTGTTAATCTGACTGGGGTTTTTCTGTTTGTTTTGATTTTTAGAACTGAACAATATTTTGGGAGTCCAAGTGACATGGCGTCTACTGCAGAACACATCAGAGACAGGATGAAACTAGTGAGTCTCAAAAGGCAGCAGCTGAGACATCCTGAAATGATGACCACCGAGAGCTAATAGCTACCAGCTTCCCACAGATCTGCGTTCATAGTAACCCCGCATGTCGTCGGCATACTGCAGCATTAGCCACAATACATTAAGATACATTTCACAGCCAAGATAAGCATTTCTTTTCATTACACATTTTTCTCTACATGTTAACACCTTGCAAATACCAAGGCATAATTATTTAACATGGCTTTGAGAACATAGACTCCAAGTATCTTAAAGGAAGGAACAGTAAACATTGCACTGAAAAATTGCTTTAAAGCTTTACCTGACCTTTCTGTCAGTTTATAGATGAATAACTGATAATAAGCTTTGAATGGTGCTAATAAGAGTTTAGGAATTCTCTATATAAAAAATGGTTGCCCTTCCTCCCAGGTGATGTAGTAAATTTAGACTAGCTAAATGGTTATTAGTAAATGGTGATATCCTCAAAATTTTACTTTGTAATTCTTCAAAATTAATTACTTTTATTGTGTCAGTATGAAGAAAACCTTCAGATTTTTGATATATCATATTCATTGAAAGACATTTTCCTATTTGTATTGATAATGTATTAAAAGTTGTTTGTGCTTAATAAAAGGCTTCTTATAAACATCTTATTTAATTTGGTGGTTATATCCTATTTCTAAACATGAGTGCCTTATTAAAAAGGGCATTCTTAGGATTGTGAGGATGGTTTAATATTTGTTTTTTCAACTTGGTTGCATGTGTTTTAGCCAGGAAATTCATATGTAAGCATGTATATATCATAAATAAGCATGTTTTATTATGAAAAAAAAAGTTGTGAAGAACAATTTAGATCTCTAAGAACTTACGAACAATGGAATACTATTTCTAATTTTTCTCTTCTTCAACTTGAAAAATATTATACAAATCATTAACTATCCTAAACATACTTTGGAGAAGGGAGGGCTGGGGAAAAAATGCATACATAATTACTTAATGTAATCCTTTATATCAGAGTAATCGTTCTGGAACTAAAGTAGCAATTGTTAATAAAATTTAATTTCTCATGATTGACTAGAAGCAAAATTCTGAAGTAGTCTAATAACAAAACTGTACAACTTTTAGAAATAAAATTTATAAAATGCTAGCTAGTGCTTTTAAGTTTATATTAAGTTTAAATGGTGAAATATGTATAAATTTCTATGTTAATTTTTATTTCAGAAATGTTTTTGAAAAAAATTAAAAATAATTTTTTAGTCTGTGATCAACATAAAATTATGCAGAGAATTGTATGCTGGTTCCTTTTCGTCGTCTTGAGAAATGCTCATGTATCTTCCAATGTAAAGCACTTCCTCTGAACCTGCCAGCTTCTCTCACCTGTTCACTGCCAGTCTTCTGGGAGAAACCCATATCCATTTCCCCTGTATCCTCATTGCTCACCGCCCAGCACCTTGCAGTCTGGTTTTACTCAGCTCCGCAGTGAAACTGTTCTTGGTGCGTTCCCAGTTACTGAATTGAATGGTTTTTCTCTCAGTCTGCATCCCCTGTCCTGCTCTGTCTCTGCAACATTTTACACCCATTGAGCAACATTTCCTAGATAGTGTCCCCTTCTTTGAAGATGTCGTCTGCCCCAAGTGTGAGTACACATCACTCTTAAAATATATCTACCAAACTGTGCTCTCAGGTTCTGTCTTCAGAGAACTCAGAATCTCATCCTTAGTTTTGCTATTTTATCTCAACGTCTTGTGTTACATATCTGGGCCTAGACCTGTACTTCCAAGTACCTACTTAGCATTTCAACCTAGATGAAGCTATTTATCCTGTTTTTCACCTTTCTCCTCTTGGAGCACTTTTGGCTAAAGGTGCAGCCTTTTTTTCTAGTTAAATGTGCCGTAAAATCTAAGGGCAACATTCAAATGCTTCATCATGTCTTGTGCTGCCACTGCTTTGGAGGACATCCAGGAAGTTCTTTCTATTTGGAAATCCTCTTAGTCTTTTAGGGCTTAACTTCTATGAGTATAAACTGTTGTGATTCTCCATTTCAGTCGTCATGATGGTGCTAACCACATGGTACTACTTACTGTTGATTTCTATACCTGCTACACTCTAAGCTCCTTTGAGGGAGATACCTGTGGAACTGCTCTTCCCAGACGTTGGCCCTTGTGTAATAGCGGCTCAGTTACCCTGTATGTGAACCATCTTTTGTAGGCATTAGTAATAACTCCTCTTACATTGTAGTCCGAGGTGTGTTTTAAATATATTTCCTAAAGTTAGGACTGACTGATGGGTGAATCTACTCCTAAGGAAGTCATCTGGTATTTTAGATACTACTTGGATATTAGCTAATGTAGTAGATATTTAGTTATACTCAATCTCGCTTCTGAATTTCAGAGTAGTTAGAATGTTTTAATTAAGATTTTGCTAAAAAGAGACTGGGCTGTAAGCAGTGAAACTCTTAGTTCTACCATCAACTCATCTACCTATCAAATGAGTTAATTTTTATATGCCTTAAGCTATCCTGCCTACACAAAAGTAAAATAAGGCAACATCTGGAAATGTTATTTGTAACGAGTATTTCAGATGAAGCTGAATACGCTTTTAACGTAAATATTGTTGCTTTTCATTTGAAAATTTGCTGCTACTTTCTATATGTATATCAGAATATACACATACAATTATGAATGAAAACCCAGCAGTGCCCTAATGTGATTTTTTAGGGTCATAGTTCATTTAGAGTACTTTTCAAGGAAGTGACTGCAGTCTGTTTGAAATCACAAGCTTTTTGCACATAGTAAGCTGATGTTGCCGGCAAATGGAGAAAGAACCATCGTTTGTAATTGGTATAGGCCACAAATTTCCACATTGCTTTAGCCCATCTCAGGGACTAATTGAAGTGTCAATTGGGCTAGCTTTGTTTTGTTCTGCTTTGAGGGATTTTTTTTCCTTATTACCATGTTATTTGCTCCTGTATAATTCAGTATATATCGGCAGTTTTGACATCAATTCATGCATGTCTAACCCAGCAGACAGAATGCAAAGATGACGATTTCCTTTCAAATAACATTGGCTTTATTCTCAGTCCTCGTTGTTGGTGACCGTATTCTGCTAGGGTGACTCATCGGTGATGCAGGTGAAACTGCTCGGCTTGCCAGGTAGGACGTTCATGGCAAGTCTAGGCTTTGCTGTGTAGGAGATTGGATACTTCTTTCATTTATAGGCATTTAAATTGGCCAGTGCTCCCAGGTATTACGGAGTATTAAGGTGCTTGGTTCATTATGCCATCATTTAGTTGACACTAATGTGCTGTTAGATTTGATTCTAGTTGGTGGCATACTGCTTAATATGAACGTGACAGTTACTTTTCTTACAGTGCCAAGCAGACCAAACTCTGATCTAAACCGTTGTAACCAATGGCATGATTGTGAGATTGGCTGAACCCATCTCACTGTATGGTATGCTTTTGGAGGAAGAATACAGAGTTCTCTACTACATTGTAAGTTCCTTGCTAGACTATTACTGTGTACTTTTCCCATCTTCACACGACCATAATAAAATTAAAATGTCTAAAAATTAAACATATATGGTTGCTAAAGTCCTTCACATCTTGAGCCTATTAAAAATGGTACAGGAAACTAACATCAGTAGATATCATCAATGACAAGATTTGCATGATTGGGGTATATTTGCTTAAACCCCCTAAGGAAAATTTCCCTACGATTAAAAAGATGGGCTGAGGCATAGCTGACCAGTTAACCTAATTAGCAAACTTACCAGTGTTAACTTTCAGTTCCAAAAACAAAAAAACTTCAGTTGGGAGTGGAAAATACTCTTCTAGTATGTAGGGCAACCAATATCTTGATGAGGGAAAATGAAATACAGATGTAACATCTGACATTATTTGACTTCACTATGTGCTACTGGAAATTCTAGCTAAGAAGCATAAATAATGACAAAAATAGAGGAAAGATCATAAAAGCTGAAATAATAACTAGTGAACATAACAGAAAGAGTTTGGAGTTTGAATACCTGACTTCAAAATCTGGCTTTGCCATTTACTGACCTTGGGGAAAAATCACTAAACTTCTCTGTAAAATAGATCATACCAAATAATGTCAAGAATGAAATAATCATTTTAAAAATGTGCTGAAAACAAAAATACCCAAAGTGGAAGGCATTATTACTATAATTACCTTTTCAGAATAGAAAATGGAGCATTCCGTAATCTTGCTCTTGTCTCAGATGACAAGCATGGGGCCGTGGGGAAAACGGCACCTGGCTCCTGCCCACGTCCCTAAGCTCCATCTCCCCTGTATGCGTACGTACAGGCTTACCAATGAGAACATTAAGGGGGGGGGGGCAGTGAGCTCATCAGTAAATACGACTTTTATCCCTGACCAATGAACTCTCTTTATGGCAGGATGATAGACCAGCAAGATGGAAGACAAATGAGGAATATCACCTGCTTTGAGGTTGGCAGGGACCTAACACAATTCCATTAATACATAAGTAAGTAAGAAAGTAAAAGGAAATCATACTCAGAGTGGCTCTTAGCACCAACCTGTAGAAACGAGCACAAACCTGTTAGATACTTATAAAGTATCCCAATAATGAGGTTAAAGAAACAATGACTTGAGACTACCCTTAGTGCTGTTATGGTTAGAGAACAGCAATCTTGGTAAACTTGGGCAGTGATAACAGAAGAAGACTGGTCTTATGATAGAACTAAGGATGTTCTGTGATAGAACTAAGGATGTTCTGTGAGATAGCATAAATAAAGGGGGATGTTTAAGACGGAAAAAGTCTCATACATAGGATGCTGTATAACATGACTGATATATTAAAGCAAACTTGGAGACTTGACACCCCTACTCCATGTGCTTCAAGAAAAAGCAGAGCCTATACTAGAACAAGAATTGAGAGAGAGCAAACCAGAACTATAAGTATTTTGAGAACAGTGAATACATTTTTTAAATAATCAAGATTAGTTTTGTTAAAGAACTCTTAGGGTGCAATATATATAATACCTGTATGTAATGATAACAGGAATTCTTAGTAAATAACTAAAAATAGTTAACCGCTAAGTAAGAGCAGTGTTATTAACAGATTTTTAGGCATATGGATAACTATTCCTGACAAAAGGCTATTGAAGTCTGAAGCCATTCCTAGTGAATCTCAGACTCACCTTAGAAGTATTTACATGTGAAATACCATCTCTTTAGGGTGTCCCCAAGTGTGTCCCTCATCGAGACAGGATACTCAGCTGTCCTTCCACCCAGAACATACGGACCTGTTCACTATGATCAAGCCTCACATGTTTGGGGTGTGTACATCTTTTTTATTAACAGTTTCCCTGGTTCTTTTTCATTAATAGTTTCCCTGGTTCTTTTTCAGTTTAGAAATCAGGGTAAAAACAATTTCTATGTGTGTTTTTCCCTTAATGTTTCGTCATCTTAGCTCCTATGTTGGTCTACCCAGCCAACAGATTTGTTCAGAATATACGATCAGTATATGTATTGCATTGTTTTAAAGGTGCGAGGGGATCTAAATATCACTGACAGTGTTGAGCCAGCATAGATTTAAGAAATGATTGCTCACCTCACACTCAGGACTGTCCTTTCACAAGCTTTTAAGTTGTTTAAATGATAGCTGATTGGAAGAATTTGATGATTATATTGCCATGGGATCAATTATGAAATTCTCAGCAGCATTATTTGGCAAGTGTTGCACCCTTGAGGTTTTCCCCAACAGTTTATTATAAAAATTTTCAAACACATAAAAAAAGTTAAAATTTTATGCGTACTCATCACCCAGATGCACTAGCATTTACTATGCTTGCATTATCATATAGCTATCCATCAAGTCATCAATTCTTATTACTTTTGATATGTTTTAAATTGCAGACATTCGTATACTTCCTACTAAATACTTCAACATGCGTATCATTAACTGGAGTTCAATATTTGCTTACACTTTTAATATAAAATTAGCATACAGTGAAATACAAAAATCTTAGGTGTGCATCCATTGAATTTTGGCAAATACAGTACTGTCAAAATGTAAGACATTAGAAAATTGCCACATGGCTCTTTACAGTCTATCCTTGTCCCCACCCCACCCCTAAAGTCAACTACTGTTCTTTTTTCTATTCTAAATCATATTTGTCTGTTATAGATCTGTGTAAATAGAATTGCACAGCATGTACTCTTTCTAGTTGGATAAATCTATTTGGAGATTTATCCATGCTGTTGGGTATCTTAGTGGTTCATTTTTAATGCTGAGTAGTATTCCATTGTATGACTATAGTGCAGTTTATCCATTTTCCTATTTATGAATACCTGGGCTGTTTCCAGTATTGGCAATTATAGATAAAACTGCTGATAGTGTAAGTCTTATGTGAACATAGGCTTTCATTTCTCTTGGGTGAATACCTAGGATTAGAATTTTTGTGTCATAGAGTAGTTTTAAAAGAAACTGCCATACCATTTCCCTTGTATGGCATCTTGGATTTTCTATTTTGGATGTGTAGAAAGGTGTAAACTATTTTTATGGTCCATATTTGAAATATTAGAAGTGGATTTGGGATAGAAATGATGTTGTTCATGGTTGGCAGTTGGTGTTATTTAAGGGAAGCAAATACCTGTCTGCCCAAAACAGCTCCCCAAGGGTTTCCTGTACCTGAAATTTTAGCATTAGTTTCACTCTTTGAAAGATTGAAGCACTTATCCAAGTGTGGCAATACAGTAGCTAGATGAAACAGCACTGACTTGTTTATGTTACTAACTTCTGCCACCCATTTTCAGTAGGTAAAGTAAGACTGATAATTGCACAGAAAATATTTCCACAGTGGGGGCGGAAAGGTAGTAAAACACATGTACTACAAGTCAGGTACAGCAGTGTGAGAAGCAACCATCCGAAGGGGGAACCCCCCAAATGGGGGTCAAGAAACCAGAAAACTGGGTGGGAAGAATTCTACCTCGCAGTTGTGCATAGGGGATAGCTACCTTTTTGCAGGACATTGTAGCATTTACAAATAATATTTTCAATGTTGTCTTTTTATTCAGTACCACCCCGCTATAGTTGTTTCACACCTTAGCGACTTTTACCCACTGTGTTTTACTCTTCCCGCCTGTTTCATTACATATAGCAATTACTTGTGTAAGCCTGTAAAATTATAATAATTTTTGTTTTCAGTGCTCATGTTCAAACATATTTATGTAAAATTCATCCAATCTTTCCTATTCGACTTTTAAGGGCTGGGATATTTGGCTTCTACTGTAAATCCTTATAATGTTCTATACATTGTAAATGCAATAAAAATGTTAATAACTATAATTGATGACAGTAGATTTTGGTAATGTATTTATTTGATATGTTATCACTTTGGATAATAACTGGTTTGTGTTAATAAAGATTGTACATAAGGTCTAGGGAGAATTAAGTCATACTGGTCTCTATAACATACACTGATGAATCTTTGTGCATCTTTGAATCTTCAGATTATTTTTGGTAAAACTTTACATTTTTACCAAGTATTTCCTAAAAGCTTTGATTAAAACAAAAGTATTTTTTTTTATTCTGAAATAATCTGGAGTCTTAGAAAACAGGTTTAATACCCTTTCCCTTGGCTGCTTTCCCACAGCACCCCCTCCCCCCTCCCACAGGCTTGGCACAGGAAGTCACAGCCTTCTCTAAGTCCTGCATTGTCAGAAACGGTTAGGTTCTCATCACAATAAGTAGTGGTCAAATTTTTTTTTGTTCGTAGCAAGAAGTCCATTTTCTAAGATTTAAAGGGTGAATGTGTATTTGGGGCTAGGGGAAGCATGTTAGAACAAAGTTATATTTAAAGTAACAGAATTATTCATATTATGCTATAAATAGTAGCAGCTCCAGAATGGCTAACAGGAGTTTAGAATATCTAGAATTTGGAAATTGGCAAGCCTTAGACCTTTGATCCTTTTAGAGGGCCTTTTCTTTCTTTTAGGGCGCTTTTTCTTAAGAGATGCAAGTATGATGATAAGAGAGAGAACGACAAGACCACAGATTTGCTTTTTGAGCATCCATACTCTTTCATGTAAAACCTCCATCTCTTCTTGTCCAGAGTCCTCTCTAAATGCAGCTTCATCTGGAAGGGGCCATACTTTTAAGTATCAACTAGCACAGATTAAGAGACGCCCTCTAGTGGAGACTGCTTAACCAGGTAAGGGAAGGAGTGGATGGCACTGAGGCAAGGGACCCAGGGCAGGTGGTGTCCATCCTGGCAGAGGCGACCTGGAGGGAACAGAGTGTGAGAGCGCAAAAAGAGACTTCTACCTTGCAATTCTCCATGAGCTGGTTTGTCTATTTTAATCTGCAAAATCCAAATGTACTTAAGATACGTAATTCTGAAAAGAGGCTTTAAATAAAAAACACACTATTCATATCCTGAGCGTGCATTCTCAACCAAAGAGCTTCCTTCCAGTTCCATGGTCTTAAGGTTTTGTTTTTAAAGAAATGAGCTTGGTTCCATCCTTGGGTTTGATTGAAATGTCCCTTTGCTTCAGCCATGTTACTTAGTCAAGACTAACCAGTCTATGGATGCCAGTGGCAAGAGGTGGTATCACATTGCAGTAATAACTCAAATTTCTTGTTTAACCAACTATATTATTTGTTTACGTGTTCTACCACTGTTTGACCTGGCATGTTTGGCCCACTCATCCAAATCTAACTGTGCTCTATGGGTGATTGATGCTATAGCCAAATCACCTTCCCATTCTGTCCATGTACCTACTAATCAAGGTAGGCAAAACTAATTCTAAAAGTAGAAAGAATACCCTGAACAACCAATGAGTCAAAGAAAAAAATCAAAAGGAAATAAAATCTTAAAACTAATAAATGTGGAAGTACAATATACCAAAATCTATAGAATGCTACAAAAGCAGTTCTAAAAGGGATGTTTTTAGTAATGAATGCCTAGATTAAAAAAAATAAAAGGGATCTCAAACAACCTAATTTTATACCTTAAAGGACAAAAAAAGAAAACTAAGCCCAAAGTTAAGAAATAGCAAAGATCAGAGCATAAATAATTGAAGTAAACATCAGAAAAACGATAGATCAGCAAAACTATGAGTTGTTATTTTGAAGAGAGAAAATGGAGTAACCGTTTGTTAGGCTAAGAAAAAAAAAGACTCAAAATCAGAACTGAAAGAGGACACGTTACACTGATACCACAGAAATAGGATCATAGAGACTACTATGAACATTTTTTTTTTGCCAAAATGGATAATCTAGAAGAAATGGAAAAACTTGTAGAGACATAGAAACTACCAAGACTGAATCATGAAAAAATAGAAAATTCGAACAGTCCAATAACAAGGAGATTGAATCAGTAATCAGAAACCTCCCAACAAGGAAAAGTCCAGGACCAGATGTCATTTCTGGTAAATAATACCAAACATTTAAAGAATTAACATTAATTCTTCTTAAACTTTCAAAAAATTGAGGAGGGAGCATTTTCAAACTCACTTTATAAGCCTAGTGTTACTCTGATACCACAGCCAGATAAGGATACTATAAGAAAAGAAAACTAGGCCGATATCCTTGATGAATAGAGAGGCAGAAATTCCAACAAAATATTAGTGAACTGAGTTCAACAGCACATTAAAAGGATCATACATCATGATCAAGCAGGATTTATCTCTGGGATGCAAAGATCAACATATGCAAATCAATAAATGGGATATACCATATTAATATAAAGAAAGGCAAAAATCATATCATCTCAACAGATGCAAAAAAAATATTTACCAAAAAATACAACATCCTTTCATGATAAAAACTCTCAACAAATTTGGTATAGAAGGGACATAACCCCAACACAATAAGACTATATAACAAACCGACAGCTAACATCATACTCAGTGATGAAAGGTTGAAATCTTTTCCTTTAAAATCAGGAACAAAACAGGTGCCCACTCACCACTCATATTCAACATAATACTGGAAGTCCTAGCCAGAGCAGTCTCTTTATCCTTTCATAATAAATGTGTCCAAATTAGAAAGAAGTAAAATTGTCTTTGTAGATGATACGATCTTATATATATAAAACCCTAAGGATTCCAAAAACAGAACTAATCAACAAATCCAGTAAAGTTGCAGGATATAAAAATTAGAATGCAGAAATAAATTGTTTTCATACAGTAATAAAATATCTGGAAAAGAAAAAAATTACAATAACAAAATACTTAAGATTAAATTTAGCCAAGGAAGTGAAAGATCTGTACACTGAAAACTATAAGACCTTGATGAAAGAAATGAGAGAAGACACAAACGAATGGAAAGATAGCCCATGTTTGTGGATTGGAAGAATTGATATTGTTAAAATGTTCATACAACCCAAAGCCATCTATAGATTCAATGTAATACCTATTCATGGGCATTTTTCACCAAAATAGAAAAACAATCCGAAAATTTCTGTAACCCTGAAAGACCCCTAAATAACCAAAGCAATCCTGAGAAAAGACAAAGCCAGAGGCACCACACTTCCTGGTTTCAAAGCTATAGTAATCAAAATGGTATGGTATTGTCATAAAAAATAGACACATAGACCAATGGAACAGAATTGAGAGCCCAGAAGTAATCAGCTGAATATATGGTCAAGTAATACATGACAAGGAAGCTGAGAAGACTCAACCTGGGGAAAAGATCGTTTCTTCAATAGATGGTATTGGGAAAGCTGGATAACCACATGCAGAAAAATGAAATTGGACTCCTATGTTACACAGCTCACAAAAATTATAATGGACTAAAGACTTAAGCAGAAGAGCTGAAACCGTAAAACTGGAAGAAAATTTAGGGAAATATCTCCTTGATAATTGGTCTTGACACTGATTTTTGGATGTGGCACCAAAAGCACGAGCAATGAAAGCAAAAATCAGTAAGTGGGGCTACATCAAACAAAACAGTTTCTGTGTGTAGCAAAAGAAACAGCAAAATGAAAAAGCAACCTCCAGAATGAGGGAAAATATTTGCAAAGCATATATCTGATAGGCAGTTAATATCCAAAGTACATAAAGAACTCATACAATGCAATAGTAAAAAAAAAAAAAGAAAAAAAATACAATGAAAAAGTAGGCAGAGAAACTGAAAGGACATTTTTCCAAAGACATGCAGATGGCCAACAAGTACATGAAAGAATGTTCAATATCACTAATCAGGGAAATGCAAATCAAAACTATAATGAAATATCACCTCTCACCTGTTAGATTATTATCAAAAAAGATAAAAAAATAAGTGTTGGCGGGGATGTGGAGAAAAGAGAATCCTTGTGTACTGTTGGTGGGAATGTAAATTGAGGTAGCCACTATGGAAAACAATATGGAGGTTCTTCAAAAAATTAAAAATAGAACTACCAAATGATCCAGTAATTACATTCTGGGTATATATCCAAAGGATATGGAAACAGGATCTCAGGAGATATCTGCACTCCCATGTTCATTGCAGCATTATTCACAATAGCCAAAATATGGAAGCAACCTAATACCCATCAATGGGTGAATGGATAAAAGAGATGTGGAATCTAAAATGAGCCATACTCGTAGATATAGAGAATAGAATGTTAGTTACCAGGGGCTGGGAAATTGGGGCAACGGGGAGATGTTGTCAAAGGGTACAAACTTCCAGTTAGAAGACGTATAAGTTCTGGGGCTCTAATAATGCACAACTTGGTAATTATAGTTAGCAATACTGTATTATATACTTGAAAGTTTCTAAGAGTTAATCTTAAATATTCTCACTACAGAAAAGAAACGGTAATTATGTCATGTAATAGAGGTGATAGCTAATACTACGGTGGTAATCATTCTGCAATATATAACTATTAAATCAATACATTATGCATCTTAAATTTACACAATGTTATATGTCAAGTATATCTCAATGAAGCTGGAAAAATAATGGGAATACTAATATTTTAAGTCTAAAGTTTGTGATACTTCAAAGTTTCTTCAAACATCTCTGGGAATTTAAATTTTTTCAAAACCTTCATATTACAACACAATTCAGTCGATGATATACATTGGCAAATAAAGATATATTGAATATTCAACATAATGGCAAATTTCAAAAGTAATGCTAAATATAGCTGTTTGGTTTCCCCATGGATTTTTTTTTTCTTAATTGCCACTGAGTGGCATGGAAAACTGAAAATCCAAGAAAATCATGTATCTTATTTTACTTCTTATATTTACACTTACCTGCGTAAAGGACGGGAAAATTAGGAAAATAGAATTAGGAACCTGAGAAGTTAAAAGTACATAAAATAGATTTTAAACAGACATTTGAATAGCAGATACTTTTGTTTCATGTTTAAAGTATAGGAAAAATAAATATCAATACATAATTCATACATATAACTATACAAATCACTAAACAACTCTATAGTGAATGTTATCAGAAGAATTGTTTTCCATTTCTGTGATAA